ATTGTTTTGAAGCTAATATTTCCTTCATTTCATTACCATCGCAAGGGAGGTAACCTCTATTTCCATGGTTTTATTTCTCTATGTGATCCAACGTGCTAAGTGAGAATTGCATGTCTACTTTGTTTTCCTTGCCTTTCCTTAATTCCTTTCATTTATTTCATTTACTTTTGCTTTTATTAAGTTATTCTTTTATGGGGTATGTGTACACCTCTTGGCTTGTAATAGATAGGGCTTGGAGAGCATTTTTATTCACTTTTCCCCTTCCCCATTTGTTTTAGTTAGCCAATGTAATAGGTTCATTAGTGTGATTTGCATGATTACTTGCTATGTGTTCTTGCTTTCTTAGGCCTTGCATCTAGATACTATGCTTATGTGTTATGTGAATTACGTGCTTACATGTCTACTTGCTTTAATTATGCACATTACTTACATATGTGTATGATGGATGCAAATGCACGTAACCGTGGCTAGTCCAATGCTAGTCATGGTTGTCCCCTCGAGCTCTTGCAAGTCCAATGCTTGTGAGAGAGCGTAGATATGGGCTAGTCCAACGCTAGACCTAATAAGGCCCCTTCTCGTTAGTACATACTTGCATGTTTCACTACATTTCATACATTTTTTCTTAGTTTTCTAGCATTTGGCATGATCCTCCAATCCTTTCCCCTTCATTTTAGGCTTTTGCATCCTCATTAATGTGGAATATTAAAAGTAAGGTCTATATAACTAACTCTTCATTCACAACAATGAAGTCTCTTGTTGTACAGCCGTTATTCTGTTCCTTTGTCGCAAATGCAGTGACAACAACAGCTTGTAAATCTTAGTACAAACCAAAAGAGAAGAGGTTAGCTGTGTTTCAATAGCTAAAGAAAATATGAAAATGAATTTATATTTCAATTAGTAAAGCATAGATATAACTTACTCTGAACATTCTCCGTGTCTGCGAACCTAAAAAGGTTTTCAAATTTGGTGAATTCAAAAGTGCATGGTAGCATTGGTGGATTTGGTTCGACATATTCTTCAACTAATGCCTTGTTATGAAGCACCCATGAGAACTGATAGTCACTAACTTTATACTTTGCATCCTATTTTTTGACAGTCCCACCAGTGATATAGTATCGCTTGAATTGTTGAAGCAGATTAGCAAAATAGCGAATGTCATTTCCATAAATGACAGCTGAAACCAGAGTCCCTTGTTCACAGAAAGAACCAAGATGAGCAATATTAACCAAAAGGCTGAAGTAGAACACTCAAGGTAAGAAACATACAACAGCAAGTATGCAGAGGTTTTTTTTTTTAAGAAGGAAGAGGGGGAAGAAAACATATAACAGCAATGTTTGAGTTGCAAGAAGTAAATCACTAAGAATAACCAGAGACATTTATGAAGGAAAATGGTAGAAAAACCAGAACAGAATTTGACAAGAGACTGTTATCAATTAATGGTATCAACAGACTGCCATCCTTTGCCTCAATTTTCTATAAAGGGCAAAAAAGTATTTCAGATACAGGGATATGTAACAGGAGAAATCGCGTGACTCTTTGAAAGAATTGAAGTAGGAAAAATCTAAAACGCTTTCTATATAGATACTTTAGCAGCTATTGGTCACGTTAGTAGCAGGAATTTTTTGAGATTCTTTTCCTTCTTGAAAATTTCAAGAAGTTCTTTGTACTTCGTAAGTCCAGAGGAGTAAAATTGGGAACAGGTAAACTATTATTGCTTACATTTGCTGTGTTTTGCTCTTTTGCTATAAATCATTTCCGTAAGTCTTTTGTATTTTGTTTTAGTCATTGAATGCACGTTGAGGCACTCAAATGCATCCAAGCTGTAACATTTTCAAATCACTATATATGATCTCCCATAGAGAAAGTTATACTGATTAGGCATATATCATTGGTTAATAACAAACCTTGGAATATTATAGGGTAGAATCATGTAAGTTAAATCAGAATTTCACTATAGTCGAGCATTGGTATTTTAAGTTCCAACGGAACAATATTACCCAAGAAACATAAAAAGAAACCAATATTAAAAAGTAATAGGCCTGAAATTAAATTGCACAGAGGATAATTAATAATCTGGACATGTTGATGATTTAGAAAATGTTAAATTTCTAAGATTAGTTTGAGCTTATATTACCTCAGAATCTGTTAACATGAGACGCTGAAATCTAATAGGCGGCGATCCGTTACTGGTTAACACGTGTGATTTCTCCACAACTTGCACAAGCACTGTCCACCTTCTCATCTTGTCATGGACTTCATGCACTGATACACATCTCCTTGCCATTGTTATCTATAATAATAAGAAAGACACATAATCAGTTTGTAAGTTAAAAGAGAGAAATTCTGGAACATTCAGGAAAATTAAAATTAAATCCTAAAACAACATATTTACTTGGCAGCTATGCGAGAAGTTTCAAGAACTTCTCTAAATACAATATTTTTTGTCTGGTCTATTCTAGGCTTGTCAAAAAAGGGAGGTTTAATGAGCACTTTGACTTGAGAAGCAGTTCTTGCTCGCGATAATGCAACATAGAGCTGCCCATGGGAAAACACTGGTTCCTTCAAATAGATACCAACATAATCAAGCGTTTGTCCTTGAGCCTTGTTTATTGTCATGGCAAAGCACAAGCGAATTGGAAACTGAGTCCTTGTATACGGAATAGGATATTGTTCATCAGTCGGAGGTTGTAAGGGAATTCTATGGATGAAGACATCTTTTCCAGCAAAATCTCCTACAGCTATTTGAGCATGAATGACATGTTTGCTCAAACTTTTACAAATTAATCTTGTTCCATTGCAAAGACCCTCAGTAGGGTCGAGGTTTCCAAGCAATATCACAGGAACATCAGGTTTCAAGATTAGTTTATAGGGTGGAAGGCCACTAAGAGATAAGGAGTTTAAAAAATCTTCATATTGAACTTGGTTGTTTGGATTCAAAGCTCGATCGAAACTCAGATATTCTACTGCTGTACCTGGAAATTTATCAATTAAGATATCATTCACTTCATCCACAAAATGATTCTTTGTAGTGAGGATTGCTCGATTTAATGGCAAGGCAGGATTTTCTGATCTATAATGAATGTGGGGATAAACCACATCTATCAGATCCTGAAGTGATGCATTCTGTGAACCGTTGCTAACCAAAATAGAAGAAGGCAGGTGTATGAGACTGTCATCTTCAGCTTGGTCAGCGCCATCACCAACCCTTAATAAGTAATCAGTGAATGAGGGATCAAATCGAGCCCTCATGTTTTGTGTGAGTTCTAATTTTTCAAGAGCTGGCCAGATAGGGGAATTAATCAAAGAAGCAGCAATGGTTTCAGATTGGCTTCCCTTACGAACCACTGGTAAGGTTTGCCTGAAATCACCCCCAAGAACAATTACTTTCCCACCAAAGATCTTATCTGAATTCATAAGATCTCTAAGAAAATCATTTAAAGCTTCAATCACAGATCTCTTGCACATTGGAGCCTCATCCCAAATAATTAATTTGCATTCCTTAATCATACTTGCCAAACTGCTTTGCTTACTAATTTTGCATACTCTACCCTCTGAGGTATCAATTGGTATTTTAAACCGAGAGTGAGCGGTTCTACCTCCAGGTAGTATTGATACAGCGATACCTGATGTGACTGTCGCTAATGCTATATAGCCCTTTGATCTAATATCAGCTAACAACGCTCTATAAAGAAAAGATTTTCTAGTTCCACCAGGGCCATCAACAAAAAATGCACGACTCTTATTTTCATAAACTCTTTTAGATATAACTTCAAATGCATGCCTTTGGTTCTGATTAAGCAAAGAAATCGCATTTAAGTCCTCTTCAAGAACTTTTATGTTTTTTTCAGCCAATACATCTCTTGTTTGGTTCTTTACATCTGAGAATGAGAAATTATTAGGAAGTAAGCCAAATGAAGCTATATTTTTTTTCCATTGACTGTAGAAACCCATTTATTTGCTCTAAAACTTTTCGTTTGATTTCTCTAGGAGACAAATCAGTATTTCTCATGAAATCTTCGGACATGACAGTCTCAAATTTTGTCCATAGCTGTTTGGGGTCATTAGGATAGGAATAAACTAATAGCGTAGCAAAAAGTCGTCTCATTTCATAAGGCATATGAAAAAGAGACGCTTCTTGTAGACAAATTTCCTGGCTATTATCATCCTCAAGGATAGAGGTGTCACAATGGGTGACTTGGACGGGTTTGGGTTGGGTAAAATGGGTAATGGGTATAAGTGAGTCAACCCATTTATACCCATTTAATTAGATGGGTATAAATGGGTAAGTCAAAAATGAATTGGGTAACCCAATTACCCATTTATAACCCATTTATTTTAATTTTTTGTAAATTCATTTAAATTCATTTTTGCAAACTAAGTTATCAATTTATACCACTCTTTGTACCCATCATTAGTTTTAAATATTTACTTATAATATTCAATAAGCCTAATTACCAAATTTTTTTCATTTATACTCTATTTCACAAAATTACATATTATTTAATAATTGAATAATAAGAATATAAAAATTTGAACTAAGTACTATAAAAGTTAATATAAAAATTTAATCCAAAAATTTTTAACCCCTAACATTTTTTTCATATATAAATTTAAAATTTCATTTTAGAAAGATAAGAAAAGATGCTCAAATTTATCATAAATTGGTAATACCGAAAAATGAGCAAGTTAACAAACTAAGAGAAAACAAAATAATAAAATAAAACCAACAAATAATAATAATAATGAAACAAAAGTAGTTAATATCATGACAAAATGAAAATTTTGAAAAAAAAAATGGGTAGGGGAAAAGAAGAGATTTAGGGGAAGAGAATTTTAAATGGATTAATTGGGTTTGATGAGTTACCCAATAATACCCATTTATTAAATGGATATTATTGGGTAACCCATTTATACCCATATACAAAAATTTAAGATACCCATACCCATCTATTCATGGGCGGGTATGGGTAAATTTATTTAAGTGGGTTGATTTGCCACCTCTACTCAAGGAGGCCACGCAAGAGAGCTGCCTCATGAAAGGTGGTAACTTGCACTCCATTGTGAGTCATTAAGTCTTCAAAAGACTTTGGAGCACGGACTTTAGACAAAAGAAGTCTAAGGTAATATCTTTCTCCCTCAGATGGATGAGCTATATTTATTCGGTCTATAGAATCTCCCTTATCTCTAATTTTCCAGCGTTTTTCATCAGCTAACCACACAAAATGGTCTGGAAATTGAGCATATGTGCAATTTAGTTCTTGTGCAACTGAATCCATTCTATTCATATAGAAAAATTCAGTCAACGTTGTCTTCCTATTTCTTGGGTTTTTCACTATGTTATTTAAATTTTCATGCTTCTTGAAGTGAATTGGCTGAAAATTTGGAAGATGCAATTGTAGGTGAATGATAGCTGGTTTAATCTCGTCTATGGAAAATCGAAATAGTCTCCAAACAGCCTCAGGCGGCGAAACCCACCGAGCTGCCTGATATTGCTGAATTTCATCAATCTGATTGGTTGGATTATCAGAATTGATATGGAAACTGATTCGATCATGCCCTTTGCAGATATACTTGTAAATATATTTGACAGCCTGAATTGTTGAACAGATCTCAACATTAATGTGGCAATTGAACTTAGCAAGTAAATATGCATTATGAGGAACGATCCATCTATTATCAAGCTTTTGTTTTCTGACTTTAATTTTAACACCATTGTTTCTTCTTCAATATTTTGGATAGGAATCTAGTGTCTGAATTGTTTGCTCAGAAAACTCTTTTGGATAAGAATTTTTGCAACAGCCATGCTTAGTCATGCAAACATTTGATGGGTTCAACACACCACAAGGGCCATGCATCATGTGTTTTTTAACCATTCTGTACAGGTGCGGATATTTTGTTTTATCTGGAATTTCTGCACTGACAATTTTATCATATTCATCAGGGATGAACATTTTGTGCTGAGGCTTTAAGATTAAAAGAAAATGAATATCTGGCAGGCCTCTTTTTTGAAATTCTATCACATATGTATAGGTTGCTACTTCTCTGAAAATATTTTTCTTCAAAAGTTCATTCTTTAATTCTTCTAGTTTAGCACGAAAGACCCTTACAACCAAATCTGGTCGATTTTGGGCTTCTTCTGTCGGCAGTAAATGTTCTTTTATTTCCGGCCAATTGGGATTGCAAGTCATGGTCAAGAATATATCCGGCTTGCCAAATTTTTGGACCAAAGTCATTGCATCTATGTATTTTCTTCTCATATTTCTTGGTCCTCCAATAAAGCTAGCTGGTAAAAATACTCTTTGACCGACATTTGCTGCCCGGACTTCACCAGTACCTATTGAGTCTACTATACCTTGTAAGAACTCTTTTCTAAATTCTTCTTGCTGGGTTCTCAAATAATCTAATCTTTGTGATTCAAGTTTAACATACATATCAACAACATATTGCTGAAATAGCCTACCAAAGTGCAATAAGAAAGATTCATCATCATTTCTCATTTGCAATTTATAGGCATAGTATTCACGGATGGAAACGAAATCAGGATCGCCGTCTATTCCTGCCATTACTGGTTGAAGGAATTTAGAAAAAAGGTTAATGAGGCTGGCATGTTAAAATTAATAGAATACAGGTGGAATAGATTTATTCTACTTCCAGTCTTGTTCCATTGGTATTAACTCTTCAGCAGTAGAAGCATTCATTAGAGAAATAGAAATTTGAGCATCCCTTTTCCTAGTCTTTTTTTTGTGCACCTTTTTCCCGTGTTTTTTAATCCCTTGATGCCAACCAGATTCACCAAAAGGAAGCAAAAGAGGGTACTGAAGAGGGTCATAACAGCCATAGTAATATTGGATATTGTGTGAATGGCCACCATGGGTGTACACTCGAATATCTCGACGGCTTGTTTCTCCATTTTCTTTTCCTTCTACCCATAAAGCAGCAACTTGGGACACTGTAGGCTTATTGAATACTCTTTGGTCTAAACCAGGATGTGTTCGTAAAACAATGCGATAAGTATCAAGGTTATGAACCTCTCTCAAGCCGCGAAAGAATCTAGCATAGGGATTTTGCTGCATGAGATTCATGGTTTTTTGGAGAATACTCTCAGTTAATCTTGGGTAGGCATCTAATCGATTTGCTAATTCATTTTCACTATCATGAAAATAGAATTGCAAATTTTTTGAGGTCTCTAAATCATTGATGAAATGATAGACCTGACCTTGCACTTTAAAAGTATAAATGCCTTTATTTCTCTTAGCCAAATTTTTATCACATTTTACTCCAAAGGAAGTGAAAGCAAATGTGTTATTAATTGTTCTAATACAGGTCCTAAACAGTTGAGCTTCCTCAGATGATGACATAAGAAGTTCTTTTAGAACAGTTGGGATTGAATTGCTAGCTAAAATAACATCCCCATTAGAACAACAAAAATTTGCTGTTTCATGAGCAAATTTTTTTGCACTACGATGGGGACAGTTGCGTTGGCGAGGAAGCAAATCAGCAGCAGTAGGAATGTGATTCAAGACCTCTCGACCTATTTTTGGCGTTCTTGCTATAATCGACAAGGAAAAGATATCTAGTTATTCATTTTGTGTAATGCAGGGAAGTAGAAATTAAAAAACTGAAGCTAGTAAGACATTAAAAAGTTTACAAAACCTGCACGCTTTCTCTTAGGCTTTACTTGGTTTGATTGGAGTATGGCTCTATCTATTCCTTCAGTGTTTGCTACCAAAACTAGATAGAATATGGTATAAGTTAAACAAAAGCGCTAAGGGGTGTAGTAGGTTAAAAGTCTATATTTATGGGAAAGGTTTATCTAAGGTTAAAGTTTTTTCATGGTACACTAAAGGGCTGGAAAACACTGTTTGTAAAAGGATGATCATTCCAGTAGCCAAGTGAATTGTTCTAAATGTGAAAAGGTCACGACAAATGTATAAAATTAATTTTATAGTTTATAGAATGATAAGTTAGAGTAATTGATTTAATTCTAAGATTGAAGGCATAGGAAGCTGGAATTTATAAAAAAGGCTTTAAAAGACAAAACGAGTTTAAAATAAAATCACATAATATTTTTAATGTTACAGACCTATTTTGGTTGACAGTGAATAGAAGGCATATACTTTTACAAAAGCTTAAAATGGTTAACTTGGAAAATATGGCGAAATTAGTGAAAATAATGATATGAAAAAAATACTGGTACGAAACTGTATGAGCTGGTTTGACTTTAATAGCATATTAGTGGAGGGGATTAAGGCAAGCACATGTGGATTCATATTGAATTGATTCTGATTGCACAGTATCCACTGCAGGGATGGCAACAATTGAAGGAAGAGGAAGTTGAGGTTTGGCAGGCGAACTTTTAGATGTCTTTTTTTCTTGGCACCTTTTATGTTTTAGTATCACAGATCTTTGCCTTCTATTATTTGCTGCAACAGGATTTTTTGTTGCCAAGAGTTCAGGTGGCGCATTGACAATTGAATGCACCATATTTGAACTTGCAAACAGCAAAGTAGCTGGGTTCACAGGATGAGGCATACCAGATTCAATAGGGCGAGTCACAAACCTAGAGCAGCTAGCATTTTCAGCTTCTATTTGCTCAGTTTCATGCATACAATGCATCTGAGATATATCAGGTTCTAAAGTAAGATGATCCTCTTTGTTATAGGCTATACTGGAAGGCTCAAGTGGTGCAAATAGAAATGACATATTCATGGATGCTTCTGTGTCATTTGAATTGGTTGGTAGGATAGAATGGACGTTCGGGCGTCTAAGAAAAAATGGCTGATGTGATTCCAGAGATATGGAGTGAAGCAAGCCATCTCTTTGGGATTTTTTGCTTCTATATCCCATATTTTTTTGGCTTCCATTATTTCTTATAGCAAGAAATTGATTTTGTAGAAATGGAAGTGATCTACTCATAGATAGTTGGCTGTTATTTGGCCCTATAGGAAGCAAGTGAGGAACATTAATTACATTTGAGGGTCCCGAGCCACAAAGTCGCGACAGCTTATCTAACCGTTTTTGCCTCCATCTTTGAATAGCTTGTTTTCTATAACTAACTTTATCCATATTTTTGAGTCACCTCAAACGGAGGAATACTAATAGCATTCTCAAAAGCCTCGTTTGTGACACAATATATAAGAAAAGAAGGATGCTAGTCCATCAAGGCAGACATGATAAAATAGCTAATGGAACTTCTCTAATGTAATGACTGACTATCAGATATCTCGATCACAATTTAGTCAATCATATAATTGCTCTATATTATACGGTTGTTTATATACTCTTACGCAAACAATATTAGACAATCAAATAAACAGAAAGCAACTACAGAATAAATGTAAAACCAACTGGACATACGACTGAGTAGAGGTTAAAGGAATTGAGCATATAGAGCCACCAAAGTCTAATAGCAAAAGCATAAAAAAACATGAACTAAGGAGACAATACAGCTAACAACGGGATTTTTTGTGTAAAAGTCAGGCTGAAGCATTAGGCATACCTGGTAACAGCAACGATAAATCAGATAGGGAAATGCAAAAAGCTTTGCGCCTAGGATGAGGTGTAGATTACCAAGCAACAAAACACAGGGAAAAAGAAATATCAGGGAAAGAGCATAGACAAAAGGGGGCAAAGAAAAATAGTAAATGATAATGCTTGCATTAGTTTGCTATATGAGCTGTTGAGCTATACAGTTGTAATCAGTTAACGGTAACAAAAGTTTTCAAGTTTACATATTACCCTTCCATGATTCACAAAGAAATTGAAGTTTCCATTCCAAAATTACTTGTACAATCAGTTTAGATACATTAAGATGTTCCAAGTATGGGTTATAAGTTCATGATGTCTGGGAATTGGGATTAACATCCATTACTGTCATTTATTTAAATTGCCGATAAAATGATAATTGTCCATGCCCCATATTAAGTGGTAATTCTAGAGAGGGGAAAAAAGATAAGTTACTAAAGAAATATGGAAAATAAGAACAGAAAACAAATACAGAGCAGCTTCAAAGTTAGAGAAGGTATCAATTAATGAAGTCCAGTTATAAAGATAAGAAAATGCACTCTACTCTCCAAGGCACAGAAGCAAGTTTGAAAAGGACATTAAAGTATGTTCATTACACCAAAGGAGATCAAAATCAGAAATGAGTATTGTAGCTTTATGACCTTAAGAAATCCATTTAGTCCACAAAGACAAGATCGACTCCCATAAGCGGCACTTTCACCTTTGTCAAATACATGAATGATTAAAAGCAGCCAACTCCTCAATGCAAGAACTACATCCTACTGCAATTTGTTTTCTTCCCGATTCAACTCGAATGGTAGCCAAATTAATGCTATTAGGGGACCCAATGATACATCTAGATAAGATTAACATATATATTTACACATACTTCTGCAATTTCAAGCCAAAAAAATAGAGTGTATATACTTGGGATAAAACAGGCACAATAACCTAAGATGTTCAACTGATAGGCATTTAAATGAGTGAATGAGCTTTGAGTAAAAAGACTACAATGAATAACAGACGAAGAATGGTCTACATACAATATCCTTAAAAAATAACCATTGAGCTTTTCATTGCTCCATACAAGTCTAGCCTAAACGAAACAGCAAACAAGGAACACACTAAGTAAGCAATTAGAAACAAGAAGTACAAAGTCTTAAGCTGCTTAACCAATAGGCATTTAGATCACTAAAAAAGGCTGGCCAATTTAATGTTATCTTAAAAATACATAAGCACTCCCATTCCTTATTTAGAACAACAACAGGTCACATATAGCAGACATGTATATTGTAAGAAAAACTAACTTAGAGTCTGTATAGCTTCATTGTGATTAAAGACCAAAGCATCAGTACCAGGAGGTTGGAAATGACTATGGTGCATAAAATCTGTTATTGATGTCCATCACTACAATCTTTTTTCTAGTGTGTATATAGAAATTTGACTATTTGATAGAACACTCATTATATGCAAACCAATAGGACAGCTCAGTTACTTAGAATAACATCAGCAAATGGGTGAACAGCTTTTAATTCTGAGCAATAATTTGTTATTTAGTCTATTCTAGGCATGAGATACCTACCAAAAAAAAATCTAAGCTTGAGATAATCAAGCTGTCATAGACATAATGAATGCCTGTTGTCTAATATGACTTGACATTTTCAAGAGCTTTTGCTTACTTTAACTACTTTAAGATCATACATTAGAGTCAAGTTGAAATCTTAGCTAAAATTTTAATGGCAGATTAATGTTTGCGTTGAAGCTTTGGGTCAAACTGTGAAAATGATTCCAGGAAGAGAAGCTATTGATTTTCCATAGAAAGTCTGAAATACTGCATTTATTTGTGTTGAAATATATAGGAGGCAAATGGAGAATTTTAAAGTTGAAAAACCTAATAAAATCATCAGAAAATGTTAGTGTATGATGGAGCAGTTAACCCTATCGAATATTAGTAGTGAAAATGAAGTCAAGATTCAAAAATGATATCCAGAAAAGCTAAAAATTCAAGAGTCTAATAAGAAGGCGACAACATTGTACCAAACAACATAAGCAAGAAAGA